AGTTAGCCTCCTTGACCTTGTATGACCATGCCATTTTTGTCCAACAATAACAATTTTATATTCATCATAAAATAATGTTCTCTTTGTTGACACATTTTTGTAACCCTTAGTTACTGTTCGGTATGTTATTTGTCTATTTTTTCGTGTTTAATGGACTGTATTGGTTGTTTATTTTGTATGCTAATATTGTTAACATACGTTTTAGAAAAAGATAAATCTTATCCAGCCAAATGGCTTACTTGTTCTGACTTTGGCTGAGCTAAGACTCTGTGCTTGACAGTCTAGAGGATAGTTTAGAATTGAATCAGCAGGAAATTGCTTACAATAGTCAGCGTCACTCTCAACGATTTATGTAACTATCTACTGTGGGGACTAACTTGGCAACTCATCTTTTACAGAGTGTTACACTTTCGGTCGAATCTACTTTTGTGAAGTCACTCGTATACCTTAGTGACATGGTATCAACACGACAGTTGAATTGCCAGAAGCAAAATGCTTTGTGGGACGATTTAGCAGGCAGCTTAAAAGCTCATTGATAGCTAAATAGGATTCTTTTAAACAGAGTGGGCATTCGCCCTTAATTTTATTTGGGGCATTATCAACAAATAAATGAATTATGGATCACAAATCTGTTCAACTAATTTATGAAAATATTCTGTTACTCCGTGGACAGTTTGTCATTCCATTTGGTTGAAAGAAGTTTCGATAATCAACTTTGATGATCCCTGTCGAATGACTGGTGGCTTAGTCGAATGGTGTGATCAACAAATAACGGTAGAACCTAACGTGATTTACCCCTTCGTCGCATCAAGGTACTATGGATGCTTTGAAGACCTTACAACAGAAAGGACATTATTATATAAGTATATTAGTCAAAGTAGGTACAAAAGAAAGTGTGGCCACCACCGATTGGGCCACGGATCACGATTAACTGATGCGCACTGGTTGACTTTGACAGGGATCGATGATCCGTTAGATATCCAGTGACTCAACTACCGGGTGATTTGGCTAGGACTCAGTGACATTTCATTGGCCCTAAAGAATCATTCTGATCTTGCTTCTTTCCGTAAATAGTTTTCAGAAAACGTGCAATATAAAACCGTTAGCACTGAGCAACGTCTGCACCAAATAAAAAGCGGGGGAATTTTTAATCCTTATAAATTTCGGTTTACACAGGTTTACCTGGTGAGATGATATTACAAAAACCAGTCGTGAAAGCGAGTGCCTTGAAGATGGCTTCATATTTTAATCAAGTGTTTCACCTCCTAGTAAATTTTGATTATTCAGTGTGTTTTGCCATGGAAACCCGACTATACAGTATGAATGGTATGATTGAGTATTTCCGTATTCTTTGGTATAATCACTTATCGTATTACGATATCACACAAATTGCTTAGAAAAATTTATTTATACAGTTGCTGATTGCAAAATTTTTATAGGGGCTACCAATGCTATAAAAAAGCAGGCCGTAGTTTTGTCTCATTAGATAATTCCTGGGTTTTTTTAACATTTTCTGCATTTAAGTGTCATATTTTCATTTTGGGCGCCACACTATGCTATCACTCCGAGCTTTAAAAGCTAAATTCAAGTGTCAGTGATCTGTGAAGTTTACAAGGTATTGATCTTATTATAAGTAAGTGAAGCATTTAACGACAAATAAAAAATAAGTCGATGCCAAAACCTAAAATAGTTAGTCGCTTTCTGAAAGTCTCTATTTGAGTCCGATTCCACAACGAGTATTTGGGATTCTATGTTATTATGTCACTCAAAATAATGCTAGCCTTCACATCTTTGTGTCTGTCATGAAATAGTTATCTGGATTCTTTTTTAATACTCAATAGACACTTAGAATGTTGGACAATAACAGCCTCTGTCAGCTTAAACTTTATAAATATCAATTTTTCAGACACTCATCAATCTACTCAACGAGCCTTGTCATCGTGATGGTGAATTTTTAAGTTAACTATCAATAATCAATTTCATAACGTTATACGTGTGGTGCACTAATATATTCGTCCATATAACTACGTGTGATAGAATTTATTTCTCCAAAATACCGGTTAATAATTGCAACCTGTATGAGTTCTTGCCTCTCTATATATCATAACAATAAGTTTTGAACTAGTATCTCAAAGATGCATCTATGTTCGCCACATCAATTTTATTCACCTGGTGTTCACGATCGTAAGCACTAGTGGTATCGGTATATCCTATTACGGTTTATTAACCATGGATGTGGAGAAAAATTGTCGCCAAAACCTTTAAACCTTTCTCATTTCTATCCATAGTCACCTTCCATTTCCTCTAACAGTTCTATTGATATACACTCAAAGGAATATCCGCCTATAATCCCAGAAGCAAAATAAGTGGCTTCTTATAAAATATGTGGGAATTAATCACTAAAGCAGCTATCTTATACACCCTTTTATTCTTCTGCATACAAAGACTCTGTAACATCCACATTTGAAAGCCATCAACAGCTTCACAGAATCACCTAATTTTCCGTGATTTACTAAAGCATATTCCCAACTGACTATTTTCTGTCCCTTCACTTATATCATATTCACAGATTTCAGAATGTCATGCACATTAAATCTCCACTAAAATAATCTTTTTAGGTTTATCCGACTGCCAAATGTATTTTCTAGAAATGCCATTCCACTGTTTGCTGCACATAATCGGTTATTTCCCCAAAACTCAACGTAAGCAAAGATTTCTGGGATACCCAATCAGTTGGCGGAAGAATAAAACGCAGTTGTTGCAGTGAACGTCTGTTTCGCTTAATTTATGATCCTTAAACCAGGTAGCTATATTGCGTGCATTATTTGAAAACAGAACCCTGACACGGTGCTACAGCAAAGTAATTGTTTGAGTCATGCTATCTCAGCACAAAATATGTTAAACATTGGATTACTGTAACCCAAATACATTCCTATACTTTGTTGCTGAAAATTATAATTTCATAAACGTCTTTCTTGTAGATTGCCTCGAAAAAAGACCCGGAAAATACGTACTTGCCGACAGAAGGCATATTAACTAAAGGGGCAGAAGTATTTGTCCGTAAGTACTTGCCGCTCGCAGATCATGTAAAAGGACGGGATGCCGAAAAGAACAAATAGTTAGGCTGGAGGATGTGACAAAGAATGAAAACGAGTCCACTATGTGTGTGGCGCGAAGCTACTCTACACAGGCTTCCGATCTGTTACATAAATGCCCGAAGCTTGCTCAATAAGCCATAGGAACTAGGTGTACAGACTGACTCTACCAAGTCAAATGTAATCACAGTCAGAGAAAAGTTTTTTGCGGCCTGTAGATATTATAGAACTTGACTTTGAAGGTTTCACCTAAGCAAGAACCGACAGAATCCAAGAGCGTAAATGAGGAATAGCTCTTTACATCAGGGATACCATCCCATTTACCATTATCGACAGTGCACTCCATGAGAGTGGGAGGTTTGAATTAGTTAGTTGCCACTTGAAATGCACGGGACGAGAGGTGCTAATTAAGTTGGTCTACCGCAGTCCAAGCTAATGGGGAAATGAGTCTTACGAGGCATTTTCAATATTTCGTCGATGTCTAAAGCTAGGAGACTTAAATACGCCCACGGTAGACTGGAAAAATCTGAGTACTGAATTGTCGGAAAATTCCTTCGTACAGGAACTCTTGGTGCACATTTCTCGTGCGCCCTAGTACAGTATATGAAAGAACTGACTAGGAACCATTCCGACTCTGAATCATCTTACTAGATCTTATACTGATCCATTACACGGATGATTTCACGAATCTCGTTTACATGTCATCCCTAGGTACAAGTGATCATGCAGTTCTAAACTTTGACTTCCATATAGTTGTCAGAAGAAGTACCTGTCAGCCCAACTCAGACCTCACATCTGGTAAGCAAATATACAAGATGTTATGCACTAAGTATCATCAGTAGATTGGACAGTAGAGCCAGAGTCCCCAGTTAAAAAAGCTTTGTCTATATTTCGAAATTTACCTTTAAAAGTTACTCCACCTTACATTCCGTGTAGTACACAAAGAGGTTCGAGAAACTTTACACGATGGTTCAGTAGGGAGATTTGCACCTTTTTCTGTAAGAGAAGAACGTGGGAAAGATTTAAGTCACTGGGTACTGGCGAAACAAAATCTCGACATCGAGAAGCTTGGAATACTTTCCATAAGTCTAGAAGCTTGTACGAATTAAAAAATTCTTAAGGAATCTAAAGAATGCCCTAGACGTTTGTAGTCGCATATAGCCTAAAGGACTAAATGAATAGTAAATATTCCAGCACCATGCGGATACGGTAATGCTTCGTCATCAGTGGAGGATGGCTATCGTAAAGCTCAAGTGTTCTCAAACTACTTTAGCGATGTATATACTTCGCGGAATAGCGAAGGTCCTGTATCATGTTCGACTAGCAAAACTTAACCTATTCCCATTGTCATATCGATGAACAAGAGGCGACTTGATTACAGTTTTCAAATGTGTAATAAATCTGCATCTGATATGCCCTCATTTTTTTTCTTTCCAAATCTACGAGGACACTTCAAAAAATTTCACAAGCCCACAACAAATTACATGTCAGCTGATTATCGACTTTGCCATTGATTCATCTTCAAGTGGTATCCATTACCTCAACACGTGATTGAAATTCTATCTGTCGACTCTTTCGAAAGAAGGTTGGATGAACCAAAAGAACATCATTGCCAGGACTAACATAGGCCATCAAGCTTCATGTCCCTTTCAAACTGTAACCGAAACCGAATTAATGCAACTAAGTGATCAGACTAACATTCAGTAAAAAAAACTAAATATTTTGTTCATTGATTAAAAAGCGATTGCCAAGAAGTATATCGGTTTATATAATCTCGCACAAAGATATTGTATTTTAGTATATGTTGAATATTGGACGTGACCTTAGCTTTGGGCGGTTTTTCCGTCGCTGTTCTCTTGGTGTAGCTTTTTCTGTGGTGGGATTTTGTCCTCCTTGATCTCATAGCTGTTCAGAATACCTTTCAAGGAGTAAGTTACTAAAAAGAGTTCAAAGTGATTATGCAATAAAAGCCTAATTTTTTTGGATTTTCTATGTATACAGAACAATGTTCCAAATCATATCGACGAACCTTTTTATTTACGTCATAACGTAACCAAAATTTCTTAGCAAGTAGTTTCGTTTAAAGTAGGATATACTGATAGCCTTGAGCCGAATAACTGGGACAAAGATGGGACCTCAATTTTATTCCTCAAAGTTTAAATTGCTGTATATTGTTATATAGCAGATCAAGTGTATCTTATTATTAATCAAATGGAAATTACCAACATTTTGTCCTCAAAGCGTTTGAATATATTGTAAATATACAACATTTAACAGCGAAGTGAATGTGAGATAGTGCCTAAGGTATCAAACATGGCGTACCTGCTTCCGAGGCAGATTGTTTTTTTTAATACTTTGCGTAATTGATGGTATTTAATGAAGCTAGATAATGTCCTCCATTTTTAATCTCACTCCTAATTTCGACCCAAAGCTTCTCAAATTTGTAGACAAAAAGGTGTCATGGCATCAGATCATGGCTAGTGTCAGTTTGTGTTGACCTTAACCCAATCCACCTCAAAACTCTAGTTAAACTCTCAATACGTAATGCTAACGTTTTTGCATTATAACTAATGTTAGTTGGTGATCAAAACTCTATGAAGTGATCACTCTCCTAGTTTTTATGTATATACTTTAACTCCCCATTCTCTTTACTAGATGAGCTAATTTGACCTGCAAACGTTAATTATTACTATAGGAGCTGTTATTCCATTGTTGTTCCATTACTTTGTATCCTCAATTGTTTTATGTTTAGTTAGAGTTTGCTGATTGTCCGACAGTTCGTCCAAAGTCAGTACTGTATTTTCTTAGTGGGGGACCACTCTGTTGTGATAACTTCCATCTGTTTGATTTAATGCAAGCACTTAGGTTGGATAACGTAATTATGTCTTGAAGTACGTTCTGACAGTTACTTCTCAATGTATAATCAAACGTGCTTTTCTTAAACATATCCTTAACTATCCAGTCATTAACTACTCGTAAACTTATAACAACAAGGATCTTTGTTACGCTGGTCCTGTTTATCTTCAGGACTCGATTGTCAACCTAAAATCTCCATTTGATCAGCTCTTCAAGTTGAATAAACCATAAGTAATTAATACAATATACATTGCACTAGTGTTATTCTTTTGTACTTTTCATGCTTACTATGTTTTATGGTGTATCAATCGTTTGCTATTGGTACGGGTCTAAAAACCTAGTTTCTAGCATAATGAAGTAAATGCCAAAAATACAATTGCCAGCCAGGATTTTTGTTGTATCTGCATTGTTAGTAGCACTCTGGAGAGTTCACTACTCTGAAAACAATTTTTGTATCAAAGAAGTACTTATAGTACAAATTAGCTTGAAAACCTTAGTATTAAAATTAGTGGCTTGTGAATGCCTTCGCACCGTTAGTGTATCCTCAGTTCTTTCAGTTTAGGTCTCAATCAAAGTCTCTTAACTTATGAAAGTGTTTTGGTTCTTATAAACAAATGTTGGCAACTGTACGTATTTTGATGTGCGTTTTTCGCATCCTTAGGTCGAAGAATAAGTGTTGACTTTTTTTGGTTTCGTTAAATTAGCACATAGTTTAATTGTGGATTCGTTGTATGGTAAAATAAGTTTTATTTTTCTGAACAAATATAAACAACACTGACCTTTATTTAGTGATCAGTTGTTGTTAGATTGAATCATTTCATTAAACAAAGCTTTCAGGTTTTAAAAATCTCAGTTCCTTCCGTAAAACACGAAAAGTTCTTGATTTAGATGCAAAACTCTTTATCATGCAGGTACACATGAAAGTCAACAAGTCTTCCATATGGTGAGTCATTCAAAAACAGTGGGATTGTCTCATGAATCAATATCTTCATTATGACCAGTATACTTTTCCATCTTCTCAAGAAGTTGAAGTAAGATAGTTTGTCTTGTTTTGTATCCGTCAACTATTTTTTATCTTCGAATAGGTTCAGTTAGATATACTTAATAAAACATCTACACAGATTAATGATTTAGAAAGACGTTTGGAAGTAAGTGGAATACTCGTTTTTATTAATTCATACATATTTTCGTTTAGATTTCTCGTGATGTTTATCGTAAAGTTTTATCAGATCAGTCAGATAAATTGCAGAAATTAAGTAAAAAACTTGGTAAATGTGTATTACGTACTCGACCATACAATGAATTGAAACAAAAGCAGATATACTATCATAAAGAAATTCAACTAGCTGCTTTGAAGTATGAAAATGCTATATCGACTTTAAATGAAGCTCGTAACACTCTGGCTAAGTTGGAAGCATGTGTTTCAGATTCTGGTGTTAGAGATCCAAACATATTAGAGTCTCTAAACCAAAGTATTACGGATGTGAGCCTCTTTCATTTTAACTGTGGTATGATTTTGTTATTTTATTCAAACGGCTTAAACTATACGGAAAGGATATGTGTGATAAAATTGAAATGAGATGTGAATTATCTCAAGATTTCTGTGCTATGTTTTTCTTATAAGTATTTTATATACCGAAAAAGAAGAGAGGCATGCAAATTTTCCAACAAGGTGAAACATTTTAAGTTAAATGTGTTTGTTCGAAAGTAACAAACCAGTTTTATTTAGTTGCACTATGGAGACAAATATTTAATAAGACTGTCAAAGTGTAGCCCCCAAATGCCCTGGTACGACCGAGAGTGGGTAGAGTCACCTCTCCCTCTCGAAATACTCTCATATGGCCAGCGAATATATAGCCTCTGCCAGGGAAATCCTACTCACTGCCTTCTTGTAGCGGGGGTGTTGTGTACGAAAGTGAGAGGACGAAAAGCGAATGTCCGGCGCTTTAACCGGGTTGGTGGATATGGAGGTCCACCTAGGGGAGTTGGAAAACCCTGATTCCAAACCAATGGTGCACATGGGCTCCAGTATCCTGACGGAACAAATGGCGTACGAATCAACCGTTGATCACCGGCTACCATGGGACTGCATCTCCTCACGATGCTCCACTGCCTTGTGGATCAGATATTCAGGTCAAAGGCTCCGGATGTGGCCCCCTAAGAAAACCACCTGCTTCAGTTTGGGCACTTGGGCAGTATCACAGCCCTCACACAAATCGAATGAGATTTGTGAGGCGCATATATATCTGGTGCTTCCTTGTACCAATATTTATGTGTTTAAATAAATAAATAAAATTTACCGAGGTTCGCATAGTTGTGCCATCAGTAGTGTTTTATTTATTATATTGTTTATTTAAACATACATATTAGTACAACGGGGCACCAGATATATATGCGCCACACAAAAATTTGTCTTTTCATTTCAATTGTGTGAGGGCTATGATACTGCACGGGTGTCCAGACCAAAGCAGGTGGTTTTCTTACAAGGCCACACCGCGAGGCTTTGACCTAAAAATCTGACCCACAAGACAGTGGAGCATCGTGAGGAGATGCAGTCCCATGGTATCCGGTGACCAACACTAGGTTCATACACCATTTGTCCCTTCAGGGTAGTGAAGCCCATGTGCTCCACTAATTTGGAATTGGAGATTTCCAAATCCCCTGGGTTGATTCACCGGCCGGGTTAAAGCGCCAGACATTCGCTTTTCCTTTCAATTTCTTAAACAACTCCCTCTTCACGAGAAGGCAGTGAGTAGGACTTCCTTGGCTGAGGCCATGCTAGAGCATTTCGAAGAGGGCACTAAATACATATGCGCCACACAATAACAATAAGGCCAGTATTAGTTATCATTGATTTGTGTGAGGGCTGTCATATTGTCTGTGGGTTCAAACCGAAACAGTGGTTTTCTTAGGAGACCACACCCAAGCCTTTGACCGAAAGATCTAATCCATAAGGCAGTGGAGCAACTTTAGAAGATGAAGTCCTATAGTAGCCGGTGATCAAAAATAAGCTTATAATCCATTTGTGACATAAGAGTCCTGGAGCTCATATAGACTATTGGTTTGAAATAAAGGTTTTCCGATTCCCTTAGGTGAATTCTCGTCTACAACCAGCGCAGTTGAAGCGCCGGATATTCGCTTTTCTTCCTCTCAATTTCGTAAACAACAGTCCCGTCGCGACAACGCATTGAGTAGGACTTCCCTGTCAGTGGCTGTATACGTGTGGCCATGTGAGAGCATTTCAAGAGGGAGCAAAATTTCCCCACCCTCGACCTTACCAGGACATTTCGGGGCAGCGTGCACCTCAGTGATTGAAAATTCAGGGCTTCAACCACCAATAGTTCTGTCTATTCTACGACATTTGTTTCCACAGTAAGCTTTTCTGGTAACTGTTTAGAGACACGAAAATGGCCCTGTTCTACTTCGGTTTCGAGGTTGTGGGGATTTGTAGCTCAGGAGGATGATTTTGTAAAAAAAAAATATCAGAGGTTACATAAACACACTTTGCTGATCAGTACAGTACCAAGTTAAAAATTAGTTAGATTTAAATAGACTGACGTCTGGAATTACTCTGTAAAACCATTGGGTGCTGTTTATGGCCGTACCAGGAGCCACCGATAGCCTAATTCATTCCTCTCGACATAATCTTAATTTTTGGTGTGAACAGCGAAGCAGTTGCAGTAGTGTAGAAATATTATCTTCACTGGAAATTTATTCACGTTGCTACATAATCTATCACATTTACTAAGTTCACTCGTCCCATTCCAACTGGACTTGTTGTATTTGTTTTTTTTTCACTACTGCTAGTACAATTTCAGCTCTCTTACTAACCGTGTAGATCCTCTCTTCTATTGGAATGTTATGAATCGGGATCTAACTATGTTAGTGTCTAACTCCAACCAAACCTCAGTGGTTTAGAGTTTAAGCGTTCGCGTGCGATAACGAAGGTACTGAGTTCAAATCCCACTCTCAGGATCGTGGATGTGCACTGTTAAGGAGTCCAATGCTGGGACGAAACGGCCGTCCAGTGCGTTCAGGTTTTCAATTGTGGTTTAACATTGATCGATTCATGATCTCAATCAAATCTGTGATTTGATTTTATATTTTTGGAAACCTAGTAGAACGCATTGTTTATGGGTCGCCGGGTTCAATAATATACTAGCACAAAAAACACCGCTATAAAGGGGCTGTAAATGTAGAATGTCATGTACTTACACCGCACTTCCTCGTTTTTAATTAGACTGCTTTCCCACAGCTTTCTAATCACCCATTCTCATTTTTTGCAAATGAATTATTATTTAGTCCCTTTTATTGACCCATCTGTATGTTACACTAAACAACCACTTGATATAATTCACACTTATCAAGTACAGCCTTATTTACTCGACTTTTAACTATACTCAGAGATAACTAAGATTCGAGCCTGGAATAGACTGGTTGAAAGTTGATTGCTTTAACTAATAGTCCACCGTTTGACATCCTCTTGTTTATAAATGCCTAGTTATTCACCTTTATTATTAAATCTTCTTGTTTTTTGTCTTTTATTTCTACCGTTTAGTTTAACAATGCTAATAAATCATTAAATAACGCCAAATTAGAACATGAAAAACTAATGGAAATTTATGCTGCAAATGAACAATCCCTTCGTTGTTTAGAGAAACGTCTTCGTTTTGATATACAAAAAGCGAAGTGAGTTATCTTTTTAGGTCTTTTGTACAACAAGTTTTTTTAGTAGGATCTTTTTTTGATGTTTATCACTAAACACTTGCATGAAAGCTACGAATCCCCAAGTTTTTTTACTGTCCTATTGTTGTATCCCCTGGCGAATTATGAATCATAAATCTGATGTCCATTTATGGACAAATGTAATACGCCTATTCCTATTGGATAGTTGTTAAATGAGTAACCTAAATCTGATGTCTATTTATGGACAAATATAATATGCCTATTCCCTATTGGATAGTTGTTAAATAAGTGACCTAATCGTTCCGTGTTCCTCTTATCATAACCTTTATCTTGACCTTGGAACTATTATTATTGATTACTTTCCCCCTAGCTACAGCCACATTGGCCAATTACTGTACAAATGTTATTTTTCTATTTTTTGGTATAATTGGGTCTGTTTGGTTAGTATATATAACCCAGTGTGCTTGTGAATAATGATTCATATTACCGAGGCTGTTATTTGTGTTCTGGACTCAACTGGCTGGGCTAGGCAGTTAGGAAGGACCGAATAGCAATCAAGACTGCTCGTACGTATTTTCCGTATCATTGCACGTTTCATATACAATAACGATTGTTATACGTTTATAACAATTGGCGACGGGGACAAAAGTGAAAAATGACGCTCCCTTCTGACCGAATACAGTTGCTATTTGACCGACATTTGGAGTTCATGGTCAAACTACGCACACAGCTTCTGGATCACCAATGCTTTGCATATGCGTCGGAAGTGGATGGATTAATCACTGAATTTCACGCAGAACTGGAAAATGATCACAGCCTCCATGAATCCTCGACCAGCCACAACTCAAACGAAACAGCAGTCTCTCAAGAGACGCCCGGTTGTCCAGCACTATCCATTTCAGAAACGTGCCCGGTAGTGGATTCAAACACCACTATCCCTGAATTAGCAGGTCCGAACAGTGATGCTTCCAGCTCTCAGCAACATGATGCCATGTCAAATGCTCATGAAATTGCTGCAGTACCCGCCCACGAAGAAATGGGAAGCAAATCGAGCAGTATATTGAATGCAGAGGCGCCAAATGAAATTATTCATGATACGAAAATTTTTTCTAATGAATCTAATGATCAAAATTATCTAATTGTTCTGCCAGATCCCGATTATTTCGCTGATTCATATGTTCCTGTTCAAATCTCTTATAAAAATGTGAGAAAAATATCGAATGTATTAAATGATAATCAAGAATCCAATACAACTCTCATAGATACTGATTATCCTAATGATTCATTATCTACTAATGAGGTTCCGAGGAAATTCAAGGAAACTATTTCAGAAGAATCAAATGTTGGTGACCTCGAATCAAATGTCATCGATCCTCATGATCTCGTCAGTTCTAATGCATTCTCTGTTAAATGTGACAAACATGTCGCATTAATAGTAACTTGGCTATATGAGGATCCAACAGTCTTTCGTGGGGGAGGGTGAATTCGAGAAAATTAAAAATCCGGATATCAACTCCGGATTTCTCAAAAAGGGGAGGTGTTGTATCCCCTGGCGAATTATGAATCATAAATCTGATGTCCATTTATGGACAAATGTAATACGCCTATTCCTATTGGATAGTTGTTAAATGAGTAACCTAAATCTGATGTCTATTTATGGACAAATATAATATGCCTATTCCCTATTGGATAGTTGTTAAATAAGTGACCTAATCGTTCCGTGTTCCTCTTATCATAACCTTTATCTTGACCTTGGAACTATTATTATTGATTACTTTCCCCCTAGCTACAGCCACATTGGCCAATTACTGTACAAATGTTATTTTTCTATTTTTTGGTATAATTGGGTCTGTTTGGTTAGTATATATAACCCAGTGTGCTTGTGAATAATGATTCATATTACCGAGGCTGTTATTTGTGTTCTGGACTCAACTGGCTGGGCTAGGCAGTTAGGAAGGACCGAATAGCAATCAAGACTGCTCGTACGTATTTTCCGTATCATTGCACGTTTCATATACAATAACGATTGTTATACGTTTATAACACCTATTTTTCAAGTTCTTCGTGAATGTTACATTTGTCACCTGAAAATCGTCAAGTAGTCTTTCCGAACTGTAAACCCGCTTTTATTAAGGATGTTATTACTAAACTATTTAGCCACCAAATGCCCTGGTACGGCCGACAGTGGGGAGAGTCCGCTCTCCCTCTTGAAATGCTCTCACATGACCACGCGTATATAGCTCCTGCCAGGGAAGTCCTACTCACTGCCTTCTCGCAATGTGGGTGTTTACAAAATTGAAAGGACGAAAAGCGAATGTTCGGCACTTTAACCGGGTTGGTGGATGAGGAGGATCCACCTAGGGGAGTTGGAAAACCCTCATTCCAAACCAATGGTGCACATGGGTTCCAGTATCCTGAGGGAACAAATGGCGTATGAATCAATCGTTGGTTACCGTCTACCATGGGACTGCATCTCGTTGCGATGCTCCACTGCCTTGTGGGTTAGACCTTTAGGTCAAAGGCTCCGGGTTTGGCCCTCTAAGTAAACCTCCTGCTTCAGTTTAGGCTTCTGCGCAGTATCCCAGCCCTCACACAAATCGAATGAGATTTGTGCGGTGCATATTTATCAGGTGCTTCCTTATACCAATATTTATATGTTTGAATAAACAGTAATTCGAATGACAGAGAAAAACCAAAAAGCTGTGTAGAGAATAAATCGAGGTAATTCTCAGGTCGTTTACAATAAAAAAAGAATTGACTCAGGGAAAGTGGTTCGAAATTATAATAGAGTAGGTTTTTAATAATAACCTGAAGGGCATGAACTGATAATACACCAAGTGGTAAATTATATGGTTAGTAACTCCTGTGTACCTTACATCTCAATAGCCCACAAAAACCGTTGGACACCAGGAAACATTGGACAACTGTTTCGTCCTAGTCTTGAGCTCTTTATCGATGCACATTCACACCTCCACCAAGCATTGGTGTATCTCTTTTGAAAACTTTACCTGGCACTGATAGAAGTGTGTTACTTCTGTATCTGTCACGCTTTCTACTTGTGGAAAATGTTTTCACTAGCTTCAATGTCTGACTTCAGCTGGTATATTGCCAGGTCCAACAGATTTCCCACTCTTGATTTATCTGATGGTCATCCTTGTTTCTTCAATCATTCATAGAGTGATATCTATTGGAAGGTCTGTGTGTTCTGTTTCGATGTCCGGTGGTTTCAGTGGGTGTACTTTGTTCAAACGTTCATCAAAGTGTTCTGTTCTTCAGTTCTTGAATCCTAGTGATTGGCTTGTCTTCTTTGTCCTCGACCAGTCTTTGGTTTATTATATTTTCCTGTAAATTTCTTCGTTCTATAAAATGTTTGTGTTATGATTGTATTTTTGCTAATAAACGACCCAGCTACTCCTATTGCTTAGTATTCTTATACAATGACACTCGACAAGACCCCAAAATCAGAACACGTTGAACAGGAATGAAATTGTATTCAAAATAATAATAGTAAGTGAACAGCAATCACTGATTTGAATAACGTTCATATATTTATAGTATATACATAAGAAGCTTCTAGATTTTTCTGTAATAATATGCCCTGGCTGATCGGTTTAGAATTAGCCAATCAACGCGCACCATCACGGTCATGCATGAAACATGCTTTAATCCAATCTATGTCCCGCTAACAGTTTGTCTGATATTTCCTTCTCTTTCAGCTTTTTCCGCCGTCGTTGCTAGTTCTCCCATGTATTTCTGTTTGTCGGCTTTAATGCTATTCTTTACTTGCTTGTTTGCTTCTGCATAGTCTGCTTGTGCCTCGACTTTCTCTGCTCGTGTTCGACTGTTGTTGATTGCTGTTATCTCGTTCTTCCTTTCTTCAATCTTGTCCAGGGTTTCCATAGAAATCCATCCGTTATGATGATGCTTCTTGCGACGCAGATCCTCCTGACACGTTGAAGTTAATGCCTCTTTGATCCCTTTCCAGTTGTCCTCCAGAATGGCTTCTTTTTTTCAGTAGATCCTGTAGAGCTGGGAACCTGTTGTTGAGAGTTATCTTGAATTAGTTGAGTTTGTTAGTATCTCGAAGTAAGGCTGTATTGAACCTTTGTAATGCTGTTTCCCCAGTTGTCCAGTGTTTCTTTAGCTTCAGTTTCATCTTGACAACAACAGTCAGGTGGTGATCTGAAGCTATATCAGCTCCTCTCCTGGTTCTCACATCTTCCACTACCCTTCTGAATTCTTATTGATACAAATATGGTGTGATCCGGTGAGACCCATGTAGCTTTGTGTATGTGTTTGTGTGGGAATATTGTGCCGCCTATAACCAATTTGTTGAATGCACATGGGTTTGCAAATCTCTCCCCATTTTCCTTCTTTTCTCCTAGCCCATGATATCTTTATAACTGGTGTTGTCCATTCCGACCTTGGCGTTTAGGTGTCCCATTAGGATGGTGGGGTCCTTTCTTGGGCATTTCGCTATGACTGGTTGTAGTCTCACATGGAACTCATATTTGTTGTCGTCGTTGCTATCATCGGTGGGTGCATAACACTGGATAACATTCATTGTGATTCCCTCCTTCTTTGTTTTGAAAGATTCTTTGGTGATTCTGTATGCATGAAATTCCCATCCTATAAGTACTTTACGTGCTTCTTTGAACAGCATCAGAACCACACCGTGAATCTGTGGAGCACATTTTCTTCTTCGTGACCAGAGTACAACAGCACCTCTCCCTAATCTATCCTTTTCAGTCCAGCTTGAATCCAATGGGTTTTGCTGAATTTGAGCACCGTCAAGTCGTATTTCCTCATTTCCGTTGCTATGTGATTGGTCTCCCGGTCTCCAACATTTTCTGGACATTAAATGTACCTATGGTTGTTATAAGGACCATCGACCTCGTGACTTTCGAAGAACCTCGCCTTTCACCATGAAGCGTCATAATCCTTGCAAATTAAGATCCTTCATCTCCCAGTACGGCATAAATGTTTTACATTGTTGATTCTGATTAGCGTTTGTTTAGCAGGTTTTTTTCTCTATGGGATGGGGTTTCAGAATCTATGACCAACCGTTCTCTTTTACCCGGTCTTGAGACTGGCAGTAACCCTAGAAGAACTATAGGCGAAGTTAATGACTAACTACATGAATTATAAAACTCAAACGATAATTTCTGCTTTTTAAAGCCAACAAAAATTGCTGCTATTTATTTAATTATTTAAACACATAAATATTGGTACAAGGAAGCACCAGATACATGTGCGTCACAAAAATCTCATTTGATTTTTGTGAGGACTGTGATACTGCCCAGGTGCCCAAACTGAAGCAGGTAAAGTGGCTACCGCCTTCGTGAGGGGTGGTTTAAACAGATATGATAGTTCTTTTTTTCGTAACAATTTGATTAGAGGGGAAGAATCATAATATTTTAATCCTAACAGTGTATAAAATCACTAATCGATATTTCTGATCAGTTTCAACTGAGATTAATCTTTGATAAAAGTGATTTATGAATTGTTATCCTCTTTATTCATTATTTCTCTAGGCCTTACTACACCATGTATGATCATTTCATGTTGAAAATGGAGGTTAGTTCCCAGTTAGTCATCGTGTAAATTTGTTCACTTCAATTGAATTCATTATATCTTCTTAACTAAATTAATTTATTTTTGTATCATCAGTCATGGATTAAAATTACTCCTAATATTGTGAATGTAGTTGTACAGTTGTCATTTTCACTGATAAATTTCATCAGTTTTAAAATGCTCTGGTGCAGCCGAGGTTAGGGAGATTTTGCTCTCCCTTTCGAAATGCTCTCACATGGCCACGTGTATATAATCACTGACAGGGGAGTCCTACTCATTGCCTTCTTGTGGAGAGGTTGATGTAGAGAAGGATTCACCTAAGAGAATCGGAAAACGCTTATTCCAAACCAGTGGTGCTCATGGGCTCCAGTATTCTAAAGGAACAGATGGCGTGTGAGCCTGTTTTTCGTCGCCGTCTACTATAGGACTTCATTTTCTAAAGTTGCTCCACTGCCTTTATGGGTTAGACCTTTCGGTCAAAGGCTCATGGTGTAGCGCTCTAAGAAAACCACCTGCTTTGGTCTGGGTACCCGGGCAGCTCTTCCTACGAACTAAATTCTTTCTTTCTTGCACTATATCCTTATATGGAATCTTTCTTTTATATATTACTACTATTGATGTTTATCTTGTTGCGCTAATGAGGTATAGTAACTTGGACCGATGCATATATGTGTCTGTTACGACGTTGTAACTGACTGACTTGTCTTTTATCAGATTGGGTACTATGGTGTTAAAATTTATTGTTTTGATTATACTAAATCTTTTTATTAGTCCATAAAACACTATTCTAAACTTAACTATGTATCAATATTTTCTTAATACAAAAAAAGAAGCAATTTCATAGAATGTTTCGGTAAGATAGTTTGCAGTGTACGGTGTATACATATATATGTATGTGTTAAAGCTAACTGTCATTAAAACTATTCATTCTCTCACATTATTCACACATCCTACTATTCATATAATCATTTCATTGGTTTGTTTTTTGTGTTTCGTTTTCCGTTTTTTTTGTGCTTTTTATCCCTGATAAGTTTCTATGGAACTTATTGATTGTTCCCTTCATTATTTTATGGATAGAAATCATGCTGGAAACTATAGTTCTTATTTTGTTTTATTAAAGTTATGTTTACGATTGCAACCAGTCAGTCTCAAACAAACAATACTAATTTAATTTAAAACTTCACCCCCCATTGCATAAGCAAGTGGATATCAGGACTTAGTAGCTGAGTGGATAACGCGATGACGTTTGAAGCCAAAGGTACTGGGTTCGAGTCCCAGAGTGAATATCAACTCTGAGATGCAGGTACATTCAGCTGACGAGTTTCAAATAGGACGAAACGCGCGTCAAAATTGATTCCACTGCTAGCCACTATTCATCTTTGCTTACAATATTACATGATTGTTATGTTGTGTGAGCTACTTATATTCCGCATAAGTAATATACAACAATAGTTAGGAATAGAATGTATTTCAGTAGAAGATCGAGAAGGAAAGAACGGAAACAGAAAGCAGTTGGTTTGGAAATACATGATTGTTTTTCAATGACTAGTTATTTTAAAACAAAAAATCTCCTTATCATAACTATAGAAGAATCAGTGAATTGTATTTTATTTCATATATTCTTGGTCATGTAATAATATTATACTTAAACTATTGTTTAGGGATAACAATTCAGAATAATCAAGTGTGTTTCAGATCTAGACGTTAGTTTTACTCTTTTTGGAATTGTAAAATACTGGTATAAATCATAAATATACAACTATAGCTGTAATCCATGACAACATGTAATTTAAGGTGTGATTTTGTCAATCGTAGGGTTTTCTGATTCTACTGTCCACTAAATGAGGTACGACCGAGACTGAGGAGGGCCCACCCTCTCTCTCACATGGCCACGCGTATACGCCTCTGTCAGAGAATTCCTACTCACTACCTTCTCACAGTGGTGGGGGTGTTGTTAATGAAATTGAGAGGACGTAAAGCGGATGTCCGGCACTTTAACCAGGCCGGTGAGTCCACCCAGTGGATTTGGAAAACCCTGATTCCAAACCAGTGGTTCACATGGGCTTCAGTATCCTGAAGGAACAAATGGCGTATGAATGTAGTGTTAGTCATCATAGGATTGCATCTCCTGACGATGCTCCACTGCTTTGTGGATCAGACTCGTGGTATGGCCCCCTAAGAAAACCACCTGCTTTGGTCTGGACACTCGTGCAGTATCATAGCCCTCACATAATTGAAATGACAAGACAAATTTTTGTGCGGTGCATATATATCTGGTGCCCAGTTGTACCAATATTTATGTGTTCTCATAAGGAAAATAAATAAACGACTGTAGTAAAGGTTTGAACAGGTAGATAGATAGCATCTGAGTCCGGGACATAAAATGATAATTACCCGTTGTATAGTTTATGCTATTCATTTTTATGTTTAATGCTTTGTTAGACCATGCTCTGTAAGGTGTAATAATTTGCTTTGTTAACGTTTTTTTAAAGATTATTGTTTTGTTGTAAATCTCAATTGTTTTTGGGAATACACAGTTAAATATAGTTTTGTTTATTGAAACTTAATTTAATATAATCTAGTTAATGTTGAAAATGTTTGAATTCAGTTGTTTACTAATGTGTGTCTATTCGTAATTAGCTTCTCGATATAAATTAGGGGAAGTCCTACGCACTGCCTTCTCGTGGCATTACTGTTGTTTACGAAATTGAGAGGACAAAATACGAATGTCCGGCGCTTTAACCGAGTTGATAGACACGTTGAGTTCACCTAGGGGAGTTGGAAAACCCTGATTACAAACCAATGGTGCACATGGTTTCCAGTACCCTGAAGGAACAAATGGCGTACGAATGTAGTGTTGGTCACCATGGGATTGCATCTCCTTACGATACTCCACTATCTTGTGGGTCAGACCTTTAAGTCAAAGGCTCCGGATGTGGCCCCCTAAGAAAAGAACCTGCCTCAGTTTGGGCACCTGAACAGTATCACAGCCCTTACACAAATGAAATGACATTTGTGCGGTGCATATATATCTGGTGCCCCTTTGTACCAATATTTATGTGTTTAAATAAATAAATAAATAGACAACCTCTGGTTGGTTGACAATTAGATAAATCTCTGCATAAATTCATAACTCAACTAAATTTTTGTAAGTTATGTTATGTTATGTATGATGAAGTTGCTATGTTCCTTTCTGGTTGCTTAAACGAAAATAATCCATTCATAAATTTACTCTGCGATTAGAAACTATATTCTTTATGAGTAAATAATGTGCATAGATTACTGTAAGTCTAAGTAGAGCCTCCGTATCATGAATTTATAAGCGTAATTTAGTTTAATTTGTTTAAAAAAAATGTATAAAACGCTAATGTAAAATTTCATCGAAGGCCAATTTCATCAACTTCAATCATTTTTGTCTAGTTTTGAGTGAATTTTCAGAATCCTTCATAAATTTTATTCAAATCAATTAATATAGTTGTAATTGTATGGAGGTTTGTTATATTTAGAGATTTGATTCTTGCTATGCCGCGTACTACTAGACTACTTGAACAATCGAACCCGCAACGTCGCAAGAGAGAAGACAGAAGACTAGTAAGTAGGAGCGTACTTCCCAACACAGTGTCAAATGTAGTACAAAAATCTCATGTATTTATAGTTTTTTGGCTGAAAGTTAATCATCATTTCGGACAGGGAATAGACTCATAGGGGTTCATTCTTATCCAACCTATAGGGAGGCTACACGTCGATATTCTAGAATGTTCCCCTAGCGGTGATTGGATGGAATGTCTTCGGCTCTTTCTAGACTTCCTGAGGCTTCCTAGAGTTTGCCAACGAGCCATCCTTACAAGGTTTATACATAGTTGGAATAGTAATCATAATCTTTGTTATTCTAAAGAAATATATAACATTTCATCTTTACTGTGTCCCTAGGATAAGAAAGTAACAATATATAATATTCAACAAAGAAATTGCACATATTAAAGAGATTGATTATGACGTACAAAAAGTTACAAGTAAACTGTTGTTCAAAAAGAAACATTTCTTCAGTATAGGGTTGTGGCGATCATTAACGGGTCAATGTTGGACCACTACTGAAAGCCTGGAAGCACTGGAATACCGTTTCGCCCTGTTGTGGGACACCTCAGCGGTGCGCATCCATGTCAGGTAGAAACAGGTACCTACCTCAGTACAATGAAAGATGGTCACACAATTTCATGGATTGGTTGAGGTTAGACATTAACACCATTGGATACCGGCCCAGTGGTTTAGAGGTTAAGCGTTCGCGCGCGAGATCGAAGGTCCTGTGTTTGAATCCTACGGGTGGGATCGTGGATGCGCACTACTGGGGAGTCTCACAATATGATGAAACCGCCGTCCAGTGCTTCCAAGTTTTTCATGGTGGTCTAGCTTTGATTGACTCATAATCTCAACTATATAAAATTACTAAAATCTCCACAAAACACGCTTTTGATAAGAAAAAAAATTGTTTGTCTTCATTGAAACATTCTTATGATTGTTATAGCACGATTCTATTATGGTACAAAATTTGTTTGTTGTTGTTTTTTGTTGTGTCTAAAAAGAGCATTAAATATTTTGAAGGGTTTTCTGTTATGTTTCATTCTCCTTTAGGTATATTGTACATCATGTCGATCTACAAATTTGTTGTAGTTTCATTTTTCTTTAAGTTTACATTAACGTTAATGACAGTTAAGTGCTGAAATTCTAACTTAATCACCATATTAAATGGTGTCTATATATATATATGATGTTCCGTTTGCCAAACCATTATTTTGTCTACTGGAATGTGTAATTTTGACTGGAGTATAAGTAAATTACAAAATAGCTAATTATAGCTAGACTGGGATATGGCATCAGTTCATGCTATATCTACCATTATTTAGTTTAAATGATATGGTGTAGTAGTTTCTTTTTTTTTTTGATGTAGGTTTGTTCTCTGAGCTGGATGGTTCGGTCATGGAGCTTTCATCACCCTTCCTAACGAC